GTTTACATTGCAAAACAGCGGACACATTCTCGCTTACCTTCACTACCTCTTTGTTTGCCCTTCTTCTCTTTGTATTGCATAGGTCCTTGAGGAATTTAGCATACTTTGGAACCTGTTTGATTGCATCGAGAAGCGGTATGTTCACTTGCACCTTCCGGAACGTTTCAAGAATGTCCTTCTCGCTTTCTTCCTTTTTTTCTTGCATGAACCTGCGAGGAAAAGGTACATTGGGCAGATTAGGACGTGAAGTACATGAATTTGAACTTAAATTACCTGATTTGGCCGAGTTAGGGTGATTGGGGGCCTGCGGCATTGGGTTTTTCACTCTTTCCGTGGGTGAGCTAGACACTTCCTTAGGTTGTGTCGTCTCTTCATCTACTTCCTGGGCAGATTTGGGATTGTTTGGCTCGGTCCCAACTTCTTTTCCACCCCTTAGGGTGATGGCCTTGGCGGATTCGAATCCTCCCTTTGGATTGACTGTGGTTGAGCTAGGAAGCTTTCCTTTATCTCTAATCTGTCCAAGGAACTCAGAAATCTGCCCTATTTGTTTCTTCATATCCATCATCTCCTTCTCGTTATTTTCTATCCGGTTGTTTTGATTTTGCAACCCCTGCGAAATAGAGGTTAGTAATTGCATCGCTTGATTACTTTCCAAGGACGTACCTGAATGAGATGATGTCGAAGGTTGTTGGGATTGTTGGGGTGCATACGGCTTGGAATAAAAACCAGGGGGGTTTGGCCTAAATCCGCTTTGTTGTTGACCTTGTTGGGGATCTCGCCATTTGAAATTCGGATGATCACGCCAACCGGGATTGTAAGTATTAGAAAACGGATCACCACGTGATTGGTATTGGTTGCCATATCCCACGGCATTGAGTGTCTCCCACCCTCCATTCTCGATCAATTGTGGGCACGTGTCTGTAGGGTGTCCTTGCATGGAGCATACTCCACAAGAAGCTACGGTTTTGACTTTTGGACCTTCCACCACCTGAGAAAGCAACGTAGTAAGGTTAGCCATTTGATTTTGAAGTTCGGTTATGGCACTTACCTCATTGACTTGGTGTTGCCGTGGGGGGTCTCTTTGTCCAAGTCCTTCATATTGTTGTGCATTTAGAGCACGGTTTGCAATTAGGGTCTTGGCTGCCATAGGAGTTTTATCCACCAATGCACCTCCCGCCGAAGCATCGAGCATTTGCCTTTCAATGGGAAGAAGGCCCTCATAGAAGTATTGAAGAAGAAGCTCCTCCTTCATTTGATGTTGAGGACATGATGCAACAAGGGCTTTAAAACGCTCATAGTATGTCGGAAAAGATTCTCCTTGACTTTGTTGGATTCCGCTAATTTTCTTCCTCAAGAGAATGACTCTTGAAGTAGGGAAAAACTTCTCCAAGAACGCTCTCTTCATGCTTTCCCAAGAAGTCACTATCCCGGGTGCCAATTCATAAAGCCAATCCTTAGCCTTTTCCACAAGAGAGAATGGAAAAGCTTTCATCTTCAAAATATTCCCATCAACATTAATGGGTGTCATGCTTGAGCATACAACTTCAAACTCCTTCAAATGCTTGTTTGGATCTTCCATGGACAGCCCATGGTACTTAGGAATATGATGCAGCAAGCTTGACTTCAATTCGAACTCATCGGTCTTGCCTAGAGCCGCCCTAGGATATTGAATACATAGGGGTGCGACATTGTCCAATCCCGAAGCGGAAAGTTCTTTGATTGTTCGGTTGTCTGCTGCCATGTCTACTTCACCCTCTGTTCTCCTGGGTTTCTCTTCTTCAAATTCAGCAACGGACTCGGAGCTTTCACTTGATTCGCTAGGTTCTGGGTTCTTTCTCTTTCGTCTCAATTCTCGCTCGAAATCGGCGTCAAAGACCGAGATAGGTTCACGAATCGGATGAGAACTCCGAGTCATAAACTAGTACCTAAAACAAGAAACAAAACAAGATTAAGAATCTAGAATAAAATAAAAACAAAAGAAAATACAACAATCCAAGAGATTAGCAAAGTTGCTAATCCCCGGCAACGGCGCCAAAATTTGATGCGAGATTTATACGCACACAAATTAAACCCTCTTTTTGTCAATTGTAGTATAAGTATAAGTAGGGATCGTTCTAAACCGGGGATTAGGAGGGATTACTAAATCACTTGGAAACTGACTCAAAAATGTAAAACAAACATTAAAACACTAAAACAAATCAAAAGACTCAAAGAATACAAAACACTTATAAACACAAACTAAGACACTTTCTAACTAAATTGGACACTAAAGTAAAGGGGGATTGAGATTTTGACGAAAATAAATTAAATGCACAAATTGTAATTTAAAGGTAGAATTTAAATATGAATGTGATGAAATATGGAATGAATGCTAGCTAAGGGGTTCTTCTCCACACATGTTATACTTGCATACAAGATTGATTCTCAGTTGGTCTTTCGATAAATTATGAAACTCAACACTCCGGATTAATTAGGTCCGCTTAAATTAACCGTCAAGTTTTCCTTAAGTTAATGAATTGGATGGGTTTGCGCAACGCAATTCACAACATTCTCCAAAAGTCCTTTACGTGAACAGCACAATAAAGATACAATCAAAGATCATTAAGTATTATGAAAACTATAAGTGTTGACGAGGCATTCGTTACTATGATGAGCATGAAACTCGTGCCAAGAATTCATTTAACGCGATTGTTTATAAGCAACCTCCACTACTTGTGAATATAAGTTCATAACGATTAGGTGAAAATCACTTATATTCTAGCGTCATATTTATGCATGAAAATTAAGCGCGCATTCTTAATAAACATTCATAAATAAGTTATCAATCAAACGGTTAAACAAATTGAATCCACAACTTATGAAATTCCAACGAAAGTTAATCAATTCATATTGCAAATATAAACATAGTTTCGAATCACCCCCTAGCTAAAGGGGAATTAGTTCCTCATACCTTTGAAATCAAAGAAACACCTAAACATTCCAACAACTCAAAACTTGAATTGTATGAACGGTTAAGCACTCTTCTCTTCCATTCCTTATACGTACAAAACAAAGAGAATTAAAATGAAACTTTGAAATCAAAGAAACACCTAAACATTCCAACAACTCAAACTTGAATTGTATGAACGTTTAGGCACTCTTCTCTTCCTCGTTGTTGTAGCACAAGGTTTAAGGATAGGTTGGTTGGGGGGATGGAAGTGTGGAATGGAGTGGAAATGGAGAAGATGGAGAAGGGGAAGTGTTTGTGTATTACAATGGAAAATGAGATGATTTGGTGAATGGAATGAATGGGTATTTATAGGAAGAGAATGGGTGTTAATGGATGTTTGTTTAAGGTATTTGGTGGATGGGAAAAGGTGTGGATGGTGGGAATTATGGTGGATGGATGGTTTAGTGGATGTAATTTAGGGTTTATTTAGGTGAATGTGGATGCATGGTTTAGTGGATGTAAAGGATAATGGGATGGTGTGGAATTAAAAGCTAAAAAAAATGGGATAATGGGCATTTAAGTGTGAATGGAATGGTGGGATGCACTAATGGAAATTATGGAATGGAATGGTGGGATGCACTAATTAGGAGGAAGAATTAGGGTGAAGGGCTTAATGCATGGATTTGGGCCAATTAGGGTGAAGGGCTTAATGCATGGATTTGGGCCTAAAATGCCTCCCCTTGCATGGCAAGGGAAAGGACTTGGGCTAAAGCCCATGGCAATGGCTCTAAAATGGGCTAAGGTTAGGGTTTAGGTCATCTAAAAGCCCAAAGCCAAGAATAGAAACTCACGACAATGGAAACCTCCAAGAATAGAAACTTCCAACTTAAGAAACTTTGGTTACCAATTCCGACTTCCTTGCTCTTCACTTTCATTTCTTAAGCTCCTTTGACCTTCAACCTCGTTCATTCCTCGTGCTCCATTTGCATACACCACATTCCAGCTCAGTTTTGCTCCAAAAGCTCCCAATTGCATCATTTCATGTAATATGTCCTTTAAACCTGAAAACACATGAAAGTAGCTTAAAAGACTACTTTAACGAATAAAACATAACAAAAATGCATAAGAACTAGCTAACTAAGGCGCATAAATATGCTCCTATCAAATAGTACTTATGAAAATATATAAAATAATAATAATTGGTCACACCATTACTCCAAATCCGCTTTTGCATGCCCTACGCGCCCATATTGCCGAGTACTTTAGGAATACACTAAAAGAATATTTCGTACGTCTCAGAACACGTTGATCAATGGAAGTCAATACCCTCGCCTCTAAGGGAATTTTCATCAATTCCCTCGATTAAAATAAATAAAAACGAAAATTTAGGGACAGGTTGTCACACTTCTTATGTCCTTCAATTTTAATAACCAAAGTAAAAAAATTTACACATTTTGTGTGTGGGCATAGGTGAAATTAAACCATACCACATAACAGGTCAACCACTTACTAGGTATCGAATATGAGATTTCTCATTTATAAGTAAAGATGAATGTTTTAAATATTAAAACAAATCAACGCAACCGGTCACTAGTTTTGGATCCAAGTATATGAATGTAACGGTCTCTTTGATATGAAAGTGATTTTTGGAGCCAAATCTTAAAAAATTGCAACTGAATTTTAGAAAATCACTTGAAGTGTTTTTTGCATAAAAATACATAACTAGTGTTTCTTTTAAAATGCACTTTTAAGTGTTTTTAAAACCTAAAACACTTCCATTTATTTAAAAAACACGTCTGAACAAATTTATATTTTTTGTTTAAAAAATGATGAGTATAACTAAATTACTTAATACTTATTAGTTTCAAATACAAAAATTTAGCCTAATAATATAATGTAAGAAAGACAGCTTAAATTCGAATTGTCAATAAGAAAATTAAAATCAATAAATAATAATATAGTCACAAATAAGTGTGTGCGTGAGTGGGGAGTTCCCGCGAGGGAAACTCGGGTCAAACAAAACAAGGCGCCTCTTTTCTTTTTGCTTCTCGGAGTTTATAATACCCGAACAACCAAACAACCCGAAAAATAATTAGAGACTCGTGAAACGAAGGAAATCAAAATCCGAATTTCGAACCAGAAAAACAAAAGAAAAAGAAAACAAGGGGAAAATGGAAGCAGCGATGGGACTGATGCGTCGGATGCCTCCCAAGCACACTGAGACGGCTCTCTCCGCCCTTCTCTCCCTTCTCCCCCAGCACTCCTCCGATCTCCTCTCTCAAGTCGATCAGCCTCTCCAGGTTCTCCCCTGTTTGTTTCCCGAGAAAATCCAATCCAATCCTATTTTCACTTTCCATTTTCTTTCTCATAGGGTTTCATTTTAGTCCCCAGAAAATAAACAAAACGATCTTTTGAAATTCAAATTTTAAAGTCCCTGTGTTGCTCTGATTTACCAAAAATCAGGTTTTGTGCGATATGGAATACGGGAAGGAGTTCATTTTGTGTGAATATAACAGAGATGCAGACTCTTACAGGTAAAACCCTCACATCTTTTGTCAAATTTGATGGGTTGGTGTTACTTTTCTGATATTTTACACACTAATTGCTACATTTTTTAAGGACATTTTAGAGGTAGCAGATCTGGCCTTGATTTATGAATCTGGATGTTTGGTATATTTTGATTAATTTAATTTAATTTAATTTATTGTTTTGGTTCATATGCAGATTTAATTGGTGTGATTAGTGCAATGCGTGTATAACTATGTACTCCAGCAGTTTCTTTTTTCGTATAATCTTTTGTGTTCTGTGAATATCTATTGTCGATATTGATAATTTTGTACTACTATATTTCCATGTAGATCACCTTGGTCAAACAAATATCATCCGCTGCTAGAAGACGGCAGCCTCCCATCTTTAGGGTTGAGGAAACTTGAAGTTGAAGCAAACGACATCTTTGCCGTATATCGTGACCAGTGAGGTCCTTTACTTACCTCGTTCTTCTGTTATTCTTTGCATTGGTTTTGGTTGAACAGTATAAAACACTTCCAAAATGGTTTTGGTTCTGATAATAGACTGATTACGCATCCTTCGCAGAATCAAACTGGCATAATTCTAGATTTTCGATGAGTGAATGACTGAAAGAAAAATTTTGTATTTTGGTGAATTTGGTTGAATGAACTTGGGATTTGATTTGAATTTGGATTTTGTGGTGAATTTGGTTGAGGTGAACCAGGTATTTGATTTGGACTTGTTTTAGGTTTCGTGCGTTTCCATCTAGATCGAATCTAAATTGCCCACACCCTTAGCAGATCAAACCTGATGTAGTTTAGGATGTTTTGTGTGGCTTTGTGCCATTTGGAATATGAAGTGGCTTTGTGCCATTTCGACCAATTTGGTAATTTTCATGGGAATTTAACCCATTAATGTGACATGGTTCACAACTGCTGAATTTGAGATAATTTGCATCCATCATTTTTGAAGATTCGTATCCACTGATGTGACACGGTTCGAAGTTTTCTCCATGTTTTTCTTTATTTTGGACTACTTGGACTTAGTATGCCTCGACCAAGCCATTTCATTCTTGGTCCTGTTTGATTCATTAGGCCTAAGTTTGAAAGCTATGACTATATCCAACTGACCAAGCCAAAGGGTCATAGGTCAAAATATAGCCCGTTTTGACACGAAAATCGTCTCCTGCTGAGAGTTAGGCCAAAGGACTTGTGAACCCCACTAGGCCATACTTTTATCCACTAGGCCAGTGGATTGGCCAAAAAGAGCCAGCCAGCCCGTTTCCAGCAGCCCGAAACAGGGAGGCAATAGGCACGCCCCACCGAAATTGCACAGATTCCAAAGGCACGTGTCCTAGTTGAGAACGAAACGCATCCTCAAATCCATGGAGTAGGATTCTCTCCCCTCTTTTTTTACCTCCCGTTCCCTCCCCTCCTATTTGAACAGTCACGGTTAAGCCACATCAACATCCTATATTAATTTTTTATAGAAAAAGCAAGACAAAATAGAGAATGTGAGAGGAGGAGATGGAATGGGATGGAAAGAGAATGGTAGAGAATCCTAGTCCAAAATCCATTAGTGTGGACCACTCCTTGCAAGGCATGTGTCGTCATTCCTCAGAAACAATGATGCCTCCAAAATAATATTCACACTCTTCTACATCCTTTTCACTATTCTATACTATCTTACCTCATTTTATTTCAATTCTTCACTTTCTATTATCTTACCTCTTCCAATAATCTTTCCTTTAATATTTTCAATAATTTTCAAATGGCCACATCTTCAATCAAAGAAAGGGCTTATTCATTTAGCGACAAGTGGCACTCAAAATACGTCATAAAACCATATTCTAATATGTTATTTTAATTCAATTAACCATCTTAATTCAATTAAAGTAATAAATTATTGAGGGGCCTGAAAAATAGCCCTTTTCGGTTAGAGATGGTTTTTTGTCAAACTTGCTATGTTTTGGCCTATAGCCATTTGGCCCCCTTGGTTGGAGGTGGTATTAACTATATATTGTTCATTGCAAAATAATTTCTTACAGAGCTATAGGGCTCAACATGGCCCTTTGGCCTCCTTTCAAGCCATCTCAACCAATCCGACCAAAGGGCCATATGGCCGAAAATAGTTCGAAATGACACGAAAACCGTCTCTAACAGAGGGCTAGCCCAAAGGGCTTGTGGGCCCCACCGGGCAAAAAATATCAAATCAGGCCAACCGGCTGGCCCAAATGAGCTAGCCCAACCTTTCAAAACCAACGGCTACCTGGCGTCTGCATGACACCAGCTAGCTAACTCTAGGTGACCGTTGGATTTGAATTTTTTTTCCTAACAAAATTTAAAAAAAAATTAAAAAAATTAGAAAATTCCTATTTTTTTCCTATAAATACCTAAGTCATTCCTACACCATTTCTCACATTATTTTCACTATTCCATACTATTTTACACGATTTATCTCCTAAATCATTTCTAACCTCTTCCAATATTCTTTGCTTCAATTTTTTCAATAAATTTCAAATGGCCGAATTTGCATTGAAAGGTAGGGCTTGGACCTAAAAAGAAGATGAAACTCTTTGCAGGGCTTATAAGTGGGTCTCCGAAGATAGTGTGAGGGGGAGTTCTCAAACAAGTGAGCTGTTTGGACTCGTATGTCCAAAAAGTACTATGAGTTCTACGAAAGCACCACTCCACAGATTTCCCAAAACCACGAGAGTTGTTCTTCAAGATGGAAAAAACATCTTCATCCAAGTTTGAATAAATGACATCAAGCAGTGTTAGTCGAAAGCAGACATGAAAGCGAAGCCAATTACTACGATGAAGTAAGTGTTTTCACAAGTTATTTAAAATATTTAATTATATTACATTTAATTTCATGAATTAATTTCCTTTAATTTTTGTAATTATATTTTCTAGGTACGCCAAGCAGAGGAATTGTATGTCAAGGACAACTCGAAACTCTTTAATCAACACGGTCGTTGGGAAATTTATAAAGGGTAGGTGTTATTTGAAGATCCACCTCAAGAAAGAGTTGCTCCTACGCCAGTGTTCGAAAATGCATCCTCAAATGCAGTTGGGGATGAATATGGATCTCCTATCATTCAAGAAACAAGGGTAGAAAATCTGTCTTTGGGTGAAGGTTTCATACCTAGGGCTATAGGACAAAACAAGGCACGAAGGGCAAGGCAAAGGATGATTGTGCCTTTCAACAGGAAATGGCATCCTCATTACGATTAATGGCGGAGCAAAATGCCTTTGCTACGAAAGAAAGGAACCGTAGGCATGAAGAACGGGCAAAACAAATTCAAGAAGAGATGGATGATAGGAACATGCAAAGGAACACTTCGGATTACACTCCAATGAGCAAGGCCTATTTTGATAGGAAAAAGAGGGAAATTATGGTTCAACAAGAGTTGTTTACGTCCGACTATAATCTTACAATGGCGGATGATGATGATAATTATAGACTTTAAATTTAAGTTGTTATAGTTTTTAAATTTAAGTTGTTGTAATCTTTAAACTTTGAATAATAAATTATGTTTGGCATATGACCCTTTGGCCCCCTCCATTGAAGATGGTTTTTTGTCACATGGCTAGGCCTGTGATCCTTTAGCTCCTCGGTTGGAGATGATAACAAATATGGTTTGACATTGTTGTCATGCCTTGTACCTGGGGTCAATAAGAAAACTCTTGAACCCAAATCCGGCGCGCGAGCTAAAAATAAAATTAAATAAAAGGAAAGTGAAATTGGGTGGAAAAATATGAAATTCCTCTTATAACAAGAAATCAATAATTCTTTACAAGACTAAAATAAATAAATACAAAATTCTATCCTCACCCTTAATCTGATCTTGTCCCGTCTATGCTTTTTGACTGTTTAGTTCTTAAACTTGCATAACAATAGAGGGGTGAGCTTCAACAGCTTAGTAGGGACATAACCTTATCACAGTAAATTGACAATATTAAATTAAGTGTCATGAAATCATATAGCCAAATATCAAATCATTATTGATAATAATGCATGAATGCACTTGAACCTCTTCGGCTACCCCCGTTAATTTATATAATAAAACAAGCGGACATGCACATCCCATACCATGCATTTTACCCCTGCAGAGGTGGTTTGAATATTCTATTATAAAAACTAACCCCCATATGATATCCCAAGTTCATTGATCTCCAGCCCAAATCACCCACATTGACAATTCTCATCGATCATATTCTAATGTGCACACCGGGCTCACCTGGAACTGGTTTCACAATGAACAGATTCAACTACACAAAAGATCCTTTCCAACTACCCTCATTTCCATACTTCCAATCTGAATACTGAAATTCCAACCACATCAACATGAATGATGCACAAATAATGTCATTTTATCTTTCACATGTATCACAGTACATTCTCAATGCATAGCATTCCAGCATTAATTCCATAACCAAGAACAAGCAAACACTTAAATGAAGCAATTAGACAATTATTATCCAATCAAATTACTCAACCAAAAAGATTAAGAATATTATAGCAGTTCACAAAATTTAATAAAATCAATTTCCGTAAAGGTTTGCCGTATTTCCCCTACCTGGATTCCAAAGCATTGCCCGAACTCTCTATTACAAAAGTCTACCTTCAGCAACTCCTATCCACAAGTGTAAGCAATTACTAAAAAAACATGACCTGAACTTTAATCCTAGTCAGCATACTTAAGCTTGCTAATTACACACTACTAATTCAAAAGTCATTTGGTCATCAGTGAAGGAAACTTTTGAACTAGAATACCTTTATAAAATAAGTAAAGGTATAGTTCGAAATACATAAGCACTAATCCGTTAGTATTACGAATGATATGTAAAAGTTCATATATTAAACTCTTAGTATTATGTAATAGAATGCTTCATTTCAAATAGCATAAAAGTATGGTTGTTGTTTTGGGAAAATAGAAATCTCCATCTGAATTCCATTTGTCAAACCAATTTATAAAAGATAGTATCCCAACAACTGGTAAACTGATATCATATGTGCAGCCTTTTGAATATCATCTTTTGTAACAAAATATATATAACCAATAGGAAACAATACCCAAATAAGCATACCAATTCTTACGTGCCAAAATAGGGTTTAAGCATATGCATATTTGGTGCTTTTTTTTTTATATTTTAATTGGAGATAGTCTAATGCTGATTAGTTTTAGCCATGATGAATAATAATGATGACTAATCGTGACAAACGTTTGAAAGCTACGTGAGTCGGTAAGGTTTTGGCAGTAGGCAGTGGATGTCTCTTTCTGATTCCCATCCACTTGTTGTCCACTTGCTCCTTAAGTGCGGCTTTTCGGTGCCTTTTTTTTTAATTTTAATAAAAAATTATTTATTAATTTTATTTAATAATAAAAATAAAAGAATAAAAAATAATAAAAAAACAACTCTCGCTGGGCGCACCCCCACCCCTTTACTTTACCTCTCTTTCACACTCTCCTTTCTCCCGTTGCCAGCTATCCTTAAGAGTTTATGTTAGAATAAGAAAATAGAATAAGAAAAAGACATCAAATTAAATTACATTTCTCAATTTTATTTTTTGTGGTGTTGTTTCCCAACAGTAATCAAGATGACGAGAGACTTTTCAATATGTACAGAACACGGATAGTACACTACATATCTCTATACATATGGTGAGATTTTAAGTTAAAA